ACAACCTCTTGACTCCTCTAGAAATGACAGAATCAGATGAAACCCTGATCATACCCTGTTTGCCAAGTTTTTTGGTATCTTTGTTGCAGTCCCCAGCCGGCACATCACCTTTTTTCGGAGATGTGCCGCTATCTTCATTGACGTTGTCCATGCCCTTATCATCAACCAAGGGTACATCCCTAGTTAGAGATGTGCTGCTGTTATAGATGACGTCATCGTCGTTTTCGTCAGCGTGTATAGTTTTGTCATCATCAACGCCATCACCATCCACTTTATCATCATCACCAACATCATAAGATACTGGTGAGGATGATGATTGTTGTTCTTGTGGTGGTGATGATGATGATGTTGATGATGATGTTGATGATTGAAGTGGTGATGATGATGATGATGATTGAAGTGGTGATGATGATAATGATAATTGAGGTGATGATGTTTTATTAGGTGGCAATTCGAGAGACAAATTTTCATTCCGTATTATCTCTTCAGCATCGTTCATCTTGTGACTCATGTCAGCAGCATTTAGTGAAAGCGGTTGCTGCAGCTGCTGTTGCAGCTGCAGTTTGATTGGTTGAGCTAGTTGCTGTGGCAATACAGAAGAGGATGATGATGACGACGAGGATGACAACAAGGAGATGGGTTGTGATGATGATGGTGGTGGTAGCAAGGATGGGGTTGGTGATGACGGTGGCATTGCTATGGATTGGCTGGAATATGATGTTTCTATAGTTGCTGAAGACAATGAGGATGGTGATGATGTTTCGACAAGTTCTCCCTTCGCATCTGATTCATTTCAGTGAAAAAATTATTTTTTTTCTTAGTTTAAAGATGAAATAAAAAAAGTAATTATGGAAAAAGTGCATTCAAATTTAAAATTTACTGTTATTATTATTGTTCATCTGTTGTGCTGGATGATGATTGGACGATGAAAACATCGATAATGATGAAAATGAGAAAGAATGAGGCGCCGCTGACGACGAGAATGATGGTAGTGGTGGGGCCAGCATTTGAGTCGAAGTTCTAGCTAGTGATGTAGATGATGCAATAGTGGCTTGGCTACGCTCTCGGCTTTGTTCGCTTTCTGGGGACAAAATCAAGAATTAGGCAATTTTTTCAGTGAGAAATTTAACTTCATGTGTATGTGTGATTTTTTGGAGTGACTTTTTCTGGTAGTTATGGTTTCTATTTATTTAAGAAAAAAATTTAATGACTAGCAATGTTTTTTGTTGGTTTGCAAATTAGTTTTTGGGAATTAGTTTGAAAATAGTAGCAAAATGATTTATATAAATTAAAATAAAAAATTAAAATAAATAAACCTCTAAAACACTTAGAACAGAGGCCTAGAGTTTGAGCAGACCTGTAAAAAGAAATAATTAAAAAATATATATAAATTTGATCAATAATAAAGAAAAATATTTATAATTAATGAAGTAAAATTATCAAAATTAACTTTTTTTTCAAATTTTAAGAACCCACCCATAAAATCCACATGGGCAAAGAGGTGGCTCGCCATTGTTAGACTCGGCCATTTTTCCAACCAACTTCACTCTCTAAACTTTGAACTTCCTTAACAAACCACTAATTTAGTGATTAATTTTTTTAACTACGTCAGCCAGTGATAAAAAATCGAACAATTGAAATGAACAGCCGACACCCACTGCAGCGTAGTGGCCAGTAACTGTAACTAACCCTGTCTCACTATTTCACTATTCTAACACTAATTTTACAGAAAAATCCACTAAAAATTCGCAACTAGCTAAACTGAAGTATAAACAATTATTAAATAATAATAAACAAATAGAAATAACTCAATTTATATTTAATTCACTATAAATTTTAGATATAAATAAATATAGCAAGAGAATAGAAAAGAATTATGGGATCATTTGTATTTATAATAATTATTAGTTGTCTTAGTAAGTAACGCTACGATTTTTAGGCATAGCTAATATTACATACATATAGATACATATATACTTATATATATGTATATATATATATATACACTAATATCTAATTATACTTTTTTTAAATCACCAGTTAAAAATGTATATTAAAAATATAAACTTATTATAGCATACATTATATATGGAATATGTTAGCAAAAACTCGTCCGCTCTTTCAATATTAAATATAAGGGAAATGTATGTCATATGAAATGTTGAGTTTGATAAGAAAAATATATGAACTTTGTTGAATATGATTTGTATATATATTGTATGTAACGTATATAACGCTAACAACGCAGGTCAGGTTTCTGTTAGCGACATCTTTCGTCGTAAAAAAACCTTTTATTAAATTATTTTTAAGATTTTATCATTGAAATGCGACAAATATGCTTATTCAAGAAGAATAAAAATAATTTATGTATAAATGTTTTTTGTTAAAAATTTACTTTTTAGTAAAAATGATTGTTTTGAAATGAAATAAACAAAGACTTAAATCACACTTATGACATCAACAAAGAGAGAGTTGTGATATTAATTATTACAGTTGAAAT